GAATAGAATCAAGGCAACATATATCTTTTCATGATTTTTTTTTTGTTAGCTTTCGCTTTGCTGTTAATTTTTTTACATCCTTCCTGTTAAAAGTTGTATGTGAATGATATTAATTCAAAATTATGGTAGTTAATAAATTCTTCATCTTCATAAGGATTAAGGGCTAAGCTGTTGCTTACCTGGTGATCAGACGTGAGTCCGTTGATAACATAGTATTTATTCCACACTGAATAGTGCTCCAGCATGCCTGGCTCTTTCCAGAGCCTTGATTATATAGGAAATGGGTTGTGAGATTCAAAGAATACAGCGTTCCTCGATTATCAATCCCTTGCAAGTGCGCTATGCACTCGACTCCATTTGTATCACATAGAGGTAATGGAATAGCTCGAGAGAGGGAGGACACGTTGCCCGAGGGAGTTGTGGTGCATAAGACATATTGCGTATATCAGGGCCACCTTGATCTGCTGCAACCTCTCAGACAAGTCTAGAACTCTTTAGCCGGTCGCCGATGTATTGGACGTGTGGTGAGTCCGGCATGGGATAGCTAAGCAATGATCCCGTGTGTATTTCGGGGCACATCCAATCACTGGATTATTCCTCATTAATGAGTGCGGCCGAATAGGAAGATTACTTAAATGACGCGGATGACGGTGTTTGAAGGTACCACGCAATCCATGTAGGGTGAATGGTTCGCCCTGCACCACAGTCACGCGAAGCTTCCATTATTTCGTGGTCGAATAATTGGCGTGAGACTCATTTTAGTGACAGTAACAGTGAAGTGATAGATCGGTGGGCTGCCGCAAGTTAAGGTATGGGCTGAACATCTCTTGGATAGCCCTGTATTTCTATGTCAAGTCAGATGTATGATACATTCCTGAAGGGGTTAATCAAAGCAGAGAACGTTATGAACCGTATTGGTATCAAATAAAAATGGCAGCGGTCAAGTAATTCTGACAAATTAAGAGTTCTCGTTTCCGCAAAAATTTGTGATCGAGTTCTCGACTTGCGAGAGAAAAAGTCATCTGCGAGCTTATTCATAGTCTTTTTTTTACATCAAAAACCGTCAAAAAGAGGTCAAGCATCAAGCACACAGTAGAACACCTGTTGGTGACTCTCCACAATTCCTTTTTGCCGAATATAAAGAAGAAAAAAAAAGAGAAGTAAGTGAGGAATAAAACTGAGAATTTTACCAAGCTGAGCGGGACAATCAAGTTTTATGGAGACCTCCATTGAATTACTCATTAGAAGATCAACACCACACAGTAGACGAGAAGAGCTCAACGGCAATAAAGTGATCGCTAACGCCACTACTGCTAGCCGAGACATATCTGAAGGATAAAGGTAGGTACTCTTTGTAGGACGTTGGACAAAGAACACTTAGTTGCCACCGATAGCAAGAAAAGAAGAAGTTTATGAACTGAGATTTTTATTGAAACTTCGATAATCTCACGAAAACTGGAGGCTTATCAGGACACGAACAGATTATTTAAGAGTTTTCGGTTAATTTTTCCTCTTATTTGATAAGGTTGAAATATTATCTGCGCAAAAATACTGCGATGACTCTGCCATATGGATTGTCACTAACTCCAACGCGGGAAACCTTCATGGCTATTTAGTTCCTATGCCATTAATTTATCATATATCGGACAGCTTCGGCTTATTGTAAAACCCAGTTGCGCTAAATTTATCGTAAAAACTAAATGTATTCGGAAAACATTCCATGAGCTCGATGTGATGGGGTTCTTCGGCGTTCTTGTTCCTAATGCTGACGCTACGAATAAGAGCGTAATGCGATCCATCTTCAACCTCCATATGCAACACCAATGGGCAATAAACATCTATGGCTTGTCATCCAAGAGGTTATGGATTCATTCACTAGGTACCTGAGTCGATCAATTTTTGGATTCCATGGGATGTTTTACCCACAAATGAGAGGGATGGCAATAGGAGAGCAATTGCCCACACACGGTGATACTTCTTTATGTCTGAGGGTGAATCATCCCCATTCACTAATGTACTGCGGATATATAGGTATTCGTACTGTACTAGGTTGAGAAAAGAAATTTCTTAACAGAATCGCCGACGAATCAAAGTTTATACATAATTCCAATCAAAACAAGGTAGTTTATATCCGAAATATCTAGTACTTTGCTGCACTTTTCGCAGTGTTATAATTATTTGATTATTCACAAGAAAACTGAGTGGTGAGCAGAAACAGGGGAATCGATCCTGCGTTTCATTCTATTCAGGCACGCGTACTCTACCGCTACACCACCGAGGAACACTTGCCCGACCACTCATTCTTCAACATCTCCATGTTAGCTATCAGCCACCAACCTTTAACAGTTTTGGTTGGGTATGCGATTTCGTTTTATAAACCCAGTTGAGCTGACAGCCATTGTGATAACTAATAATCGAAATTCCTAGTATTTTTTCTGCATTTTTCGAGTGTTATGATCATTCATATATTCCTAAGAGTATTGAGTAGCGAGCAAAAACACGGCTTCAGGTGGGATTTTGGATGAAACGCGGGTTCGATTCCCCGCTGAGGACGTGTTTTTGCTCACCACTCAATTCCCTTGCAAAATAATTACTCTTCAATAAGAACACCATCATTATCCACGATCCCCTGCCAACGATCTGCAAGATTTTGGATCTGCTCGAAATACCAATCCTTGGGCTTCAAATCAAAAAAATTCCTAACATGCCCTTGAACGTGATCATCAAATGCCCCGAAACGGTGTCCACTCAGGACATGTTCCATTGAAGGGAAAAAACCTCAAATCGGACGGCGCAGCATCTGGACTGTAGGGCTGGGTGCGACAAGACCTCGACTCTGTCCAATTCATCAAAACTTTTCTCTAGTCTTTTCTGCGATGTGAGGTTGGCATTGCCTTGCTGAAACAGTACGGTGCTTTCGAAGAATCAATGTCGGGTACTATTCCTTCAGTGCAACGTCGACTCGATCCTGCCTTGCAGTATGTGGTATTGATGGTGCAACCTTCCGAAACGAGTTCGAAATGTAAGACACATTCGAAATTCCACCAAACGTAGATTATGACCTTTTTTGCCAAAAGGATCTGGACGTGCAAGTGATGACGGAGTTTGACATTTTGGAATCCAACGTTTGCTCCGCTGGTGATTGACGAGGTAGACCCATTTCTTGTCCGACGTCACTATACGTTTCCAAAATTGACATCGTTTAACGGGTTCTACAACAACTGACAACAAACTGCAACGCGGCGATTGTCTTGAGCTTCAGTCAACTCTTGTGGATCTTGGTGAAGTTTCCTGAGCACAAAGTCAGGGTGTTGAGATGGTTCCAGACCTCCTTTTGATCGACGCTAAGCCGTGTTACGACTTCACGAGTGCTTTATGACGATCCCCATTCAAAGCTGCTTGCAGATCTCAATCGTCCAATTTCAATAGCCGCCCGGAACGGGGTTGATTTTTGAGATTGAAGTTACCGCATTTGCACCACTTTTGGTAACAGGCACATGGCTCTCAGTTCCTTCACTTTCGCCACCACAGATTCATTCGCAGCATTGTCTTGTCGAACGAATTGTCGCTTCCAGCATTAGCGTATCGAAACTGGATGCTCAATTAGTGTCCATCGTAATCATTTGATATTTAAAGAAAAAAATTAAAAGTTGATGCACTATGAGTAGCGTTGCCGTGGGAGTTTCTTATGGTAATATGTCTGAGATATATCAATCAACAATAACCAATACTGCATGCAAGCATAAAATATCAATTCTTCGTAGGTGTTTAGTAATCTGCTCTACACAAAACAAGACAAACAAATTTTAAGCTGTTGAAAGAACAGTTCACCCGTGAGGTATCGAAAGAATAGTGGCTTTCATTCCTGACTGGTCAAATCAAAGCAACCGAAACGCATATATTGCCAAGTGGTTCCGAAAATCAAATAGCATAAACATTCTTATTTCACCTTTATTTCGAGTGCTTTGTTTAGACCACGCCCAAATTTCAATATATCCTTTCATTATTATTTGAGCCAACTTGTCATGTGGTCTGGTAAGGGCTCTTGTACAGCCCGATACCCGTGTTTCGTCCTTACAGACTCATCAGCAGGGCAGAACCCGTCGTCTTTCGATATTTTTATAGTCAGTTCTCTCGGGAACCTTACTCTCCTTATAGAGAGTCATCGACGACGAACGCTTTACCTTTTATGTCAAGTGAAACCTTCACCTAACCCAGAGTGTGGTGCACTCGACTGCTCACTGGATGGTACTTTTATCATAATTATACCTTTATTTCGAGTGCTTCGTTTAGACCACGCTCGAATTTCAATATATCCTTCGGGCAGAACCCGTCGTCTTTCGATCTTTTTATAGTCAGTTCTGCCCGGCTGACGAGTCTGTAAGGACGAAACACGTGTATCGGGCTGTACAAGAGCCCTTACCAGACCACATGACAAGTTGGCTCAAATAATGAAAGGATTCTTATTTTAGTTTGAAGCTGTCAAAAATGTGTGCACAGGAGGAAATCAGAAGGTAGAGTGTTTGAACCTGGCGTGACAATTAGCTATTTTCAGTGGCTACGATAGTGCTCCTGCTCGCATAAGGTTTGGAGAAATAACTACATCCACTGAACGAAAATCTTTTAGTGACCAAGGTTGCTCTTATATTACTCTTCTCTTATATTACTCTTTATGGTTCGATGAAATAAATACAACTGTAGGAAGTTATCCAAAATGGGCAGGCCTTCAGAAGTCAGTACCAACGATTTTGATACCAAGAATTCTTATGTTTTTACTGCTTTGTCGCAGTGTTACGATGTTCCAAATAGACCTATGAGAATAAAAAAAAGTAAAAATAAAAGGTAGTAAAACATAAGAAATCTTGGAATTATATAAGAACATTGATTGTTAGTTTAACTGGATTTATAAAGCAGTATTGCTTGCCCAAGCAAGCCCGTTAATGGTAGGTGCTGACAGCTACGATAGAGAGATATTGAAGAATGAGTGGTGAGTAAGCGGTGGCCGCGATGGTTTAATGGTAGCACGCGTCCCCGGTATGGACGAAAAGCGGGTTCAACTCCCGTCTGAGGTCGAATTTTTGCTTACCACACAGTTCTCTTATGTGTGCTTGATTGTAATACCCCCAAACAATTTCAGACGCTAACTTGTTCATAGTCGTTTATGCACAAGGCGAAAATGTGTAATACGTACTAGCGATGGAGACTGTAAATGCTTTAGTTCAAGTATGCTCTGCCTATTCTTTCGTAAAGCGTGCGAAAAAGGAAAAATTGGCAGAACCTTTAGACCAATCTGCGTCACCCTAAAAGTACTAGACGGGAAATCTCTAGTGAAACGATATCCATCGGGGAGCGTAGGAGAGAGACATAAATGAGAAGATTTTGAAGTAGAAATCATTATCTTCGCACAAGAATATAGATCCTCAACGCGCAAGACTCTCGAAACATTCTGCCTAAGTTCCATAGGTTCGAAATGAATCGCTGAGGGTAGAGCCTGGTAATCAATTACACCATTAACAAATAAAAATATCTATCACCGGGCAGAAGCCATATATATATATATATATATATATATATATATATATATATTTCGGTGTGAAAGGAGCATTGCCAATTCGTGTGAGCGCTGAAATGTTGGTCTCCATATAGAAAACTCAGTGGAAAAAAGAAAGATGGGGGAGGGAGTGTGAGGAATAGTTTTGTTCCCCAATGCGATTGGACGTGATTTTTCTGTTAGTAATGGAGGTATATGGACGACTGAGATGCATTTAGTCGACCATTCCTGGTTTTGAAAAAAGCAAAGACGCTAAAGCACCAGCTTGTGTGAATTAAAGGTTTTATAGAAACCTTATGTTTACTCGACAAGGAAATTATTACATACAAAAAGAGATAAAAACATGATCTTTCTTGACTACAATTGCATGCAGTAGTCCTAAATCACATAAATGTTGTGACTAACGGCTCGAAAATGGATGGCCTTGGTAGGAAGTGCTGCAGTTTGAAGAAAATGGGATTATGCGCTAGTATGGTCACCGCTTGTAGGGGCGTACAGTTAACACATGAGTTTTTCGTCGAACACGACTTTATGAATGACCGGTAGATAAATTGGGGCGACCCATATTTCGCCATATGATTTGAGCAGTCTAGCTGGGAATCGGATGTGGTCACATCGCTCATTACTTTCTCACGAGCAGATTCAACCTACAAAAGAAAACCAGTTTTCTGTCAAATGACGATTAGCCACAAGGTGGAATTCTCTAGGAGAAAAGAGAAGCTAGCAGCACGAAATAGAACCAAGCAATAAAAGGTACAAAGCATTCGACTTCAATCATTCCCTTTGCATTGGTCTTCAATCGTAGCATCGTATAGATGAAGAATGTATTTAAATCTAAACAATGACTTGTGGCTGCTCCACCGACAGATCAGGTCAACATTTTAGCATCAATATTCAAGAAACATATCAAGCTAGAGTTTGAACACTTTGAAACACGTTTTTTCCCGACCAGATAACTCTGGAGGTACGGAAAGTCGGTAAGACACCTCCTACAAATGCGTCTCTCGAACTCCTCAAGGTGAACAATAGATGGCAGAATTAATGACATAGAAAAGCTGGAAAACGGAAGTGGGCCAGGTTCTGATCAGTCTTGATGCTTTCGTGTGACACAGCATGGAAATTGTTGCTCATCGATGCCCGATTCCTGAAGAACCGTTTGTTTCGAACAAAAGGTATTACTCTGTAGATTATGCTCTACAAGCTAGGCGACAGAGCAACAATATTGGGGCTACGGTGTATGTGAGAAAATCGTTAAATATTTACTGTGAAAACACAGAAACAGATCAAACATGGAAAACGATAAGATCCAAAAATTCGATCTCTGTGATTCTGTTTCAAAATGCTAGTTTTCTTCCATAGCTTATATTCAGCATCCTATTGCAAGACTAATTTAATCTCAGATCGATGAATTCAATAAATCGACTTGGCACGAGCCCATAATTTGAGATCCGCTGGTAAGTTTTTCGTGAAGCAATATGGTCCTTTTGTATAGACTCGTTATTGCCAGTGATAGAGATCTTCCGGGTCGTCACTGAAGGCAATCAACGGTCCTTGTATAAAAGAAGTAGGTTCACAATTTGCATCGAGCTTATTGTAAGGTATCTAAATAACTGCCTCATTCTGTTACTTTTAGCAGTGTTATGGTGTGATAAATGTACATATAAGATTGATACGTGATAAGGAAAACATCCAAAGTTGAACAAGTGTTTCGCCTATACCGAGGCACATGCTGTCACTACACTCTGCTTTTTTATCACTCTTTCTTTTATATGATCTGCCGTACCTATCAGCAACCTACCTTCAAAGGGTTGCCCTATGGTAATCACACATCAACCACACTAGAGGGGCGTGCGTGGTGCAGCGGTTAGAGGTGTTGTGCAACATGCATAGGGCCAATAGTTCAATCCCACTCACCGGCCTTCCACCCCTCCGGGGTCGGATAGATTGATATTAGACTTGTCTAGAAGGTTACCTGCACTGACTTGATACATTGGCAGGCCAACACGGGTCATGTTGAGCCAACAATGTACCAGATCACTTTGAAGACTACGAATGTAGTCCAATACATAGCGCATCAAAGTCGGATGCTTTATACTTCATAGCCCATGTGCGAAAATACTAAATAACCTCCCTAACCCTTACGGGACCAAGGGCCCAACCTTCTGCATGTCTAAGCCTCCAGTGTGTTGCGTCTAACAATGGCGCGCTGGGGTTAGACAGGCAGGGGTTGGGTCTGTGGTTTGGCAGGGGTTAATCACAATTGGGTAATAATCTAAAATATTATCAAAACGACGCTCACCTAAGTTGACAACATAAATAGTAATCATTCGATAGAGCTCACTACAATCTTTTTGTTTTCCTCTACAATTTCATTCAATAACACAATAACATTTCCGTTCCTTGCCGTTAGACGACACGAGGTGAAGAAACGACCCTTTCCGCTAGACAAGAACTTTTCTAAGTGTGTTAATAATCATTCAGGAGCTTAAAACTCTTGCTAAAGCGTACGTAGCCGTTTTTCGAAAAGGCCCTTTCATAATGTTACAGCATCAAGATAAAACTGTGTTTCACACTTGCCTCGTGCCTTTAATCTTGTAACACGTATAATTCGCTGGAAGCACGAATAAATTATATAAAGATGTGGAGGAAATTTCGTAGTATCTGAATCAATTGTTTTATCTGATCTCCCAAAGCTGAGAAAAACTTCTTAATTGAATAACAAGTCCCGCACGTATATTAATCGGTAAGCAAGCGCCGAAATGTGTGAACTTGATCTCATTTTCCCTGCTACACTGCACTGAAACGATATTTCCAGAAAACAAGCATAGCTTTGAAATCATTGAAACTTACGCTATCGAATGATTACTAATAGTCGAAGAGAAAGTTCTGTCCGCTGAGTTTAAACACAAATGTTTGTTTTCACCTGCAGCGCCGTCAGAAGAGCTTTTTCAAGAAACAAAGACATTTTTGAGTTCTCTGAGACTTGTGCTGTCGAAAGAGTATTAGCACTCTATGGAAGGAGATTTGTCCAGCGAAATTTAGCGAGAATAGAAAAAAAGACGAGTGATCTTGATAAACATAATTTTATTCTGGGTGCTACAGCGTTATAAAAAGACTTTTCTAAAAGCCGGTCATGTACGGATCTAGACAAAGTTTTGAGCAGCAAATCCGGTGCAAAATGAAGGAAATTAAGTTTTTATGAACTCTCAATCTTCAGCCTTATCAATGCAAAATCAGTGTGCAAGAATTTGTCTAACGTACTGCTCGTTGATAGTGTTGATGCTGGAACTTCCAACGAGTACTGAAAATTGCACAGAAACGGTCCGTATCAGTGATAATTCCAGTCTTTTACGCTTTGAGAAGTCTTTTAATCCAGGCGACATTTTGATAAGTAAGAGTTATAATGGGGCATTTGTGGTACAGTGGTTAAAAGTGCCTTGTAACTCACACGTCTTTGGTTCGATCCCACTTCCCGGTAAGCCAAGTCCTACAACATTTGGGACTTTTCCGTGCAGTAGAGGACTTACCTATAGAGAAGCCTAAGATTCTATAGTATACCAGGCAAGTATATATTCAGTCACCTTTACAATGATACAAGCGGAGTAGTCTGCGCGACACATACCTCAGGAATTGATCAGCATCGAAAAATGAAACAAGTTCGCAACAATTTGCTAGCCTTTCCCATGGTGATCTAAGTGTAGCCTGAGCGACAGCGCAAGTCTACAGCAACCTAGAAGACTTCTTTTTCTCAAAACTGCCTGAATCATACTTTTCGGTCAAAGAAATCCTCTTTCTGATGAAGATAATCGCTTCTTTTTAGGGTAACAAAGAGCTCTCATACTACGGGATAGGCTCTTTAAGATACGCAACTAAGCGAGATATCTACTTCAACATCACTGGAAAAACATGACCATACGCGTTATTGGCCGCTTCCGCTTCACTGACATTCTTCACCTGTATCACCTGTCGTCCCGTTGATCGTCGAGTGATTCGAGCGGGTACCAGCAACACTTCCATTTTTCCCTATCGCGTGTAAAAGTAGCCCAGTGGGTCCTCTTCGCTCTAGGAATTCGCTGAGCATCATATCTTTCTTCTATCGCTTTCATGAAGAAATCGAACCAACGGGTCGGTGGTCGGGTCCTGTAGAGCGCTTGACGTCCCGAGGAATCCAGTCGGTAACGGGTCTCGTCCATCGGTTGTCGTTGAAGCGCATCACGTGTCCGGCCCACCTTAATTTCGATATCCTGGCGTGTAGAACGGCGTCTCTGATTTTCGATCGTTGACGTAGGTCGGAACTTTGGATCCTTTCTCTCATTTGCGAGATACGGGATACTCCTAGGATCGACCTTTCGACAGTCAAAAAACAATAATTGACATTCTTACTTTCGAGAAATTATTCTGAAATGAAAGTCTAGTGAACTATTGCATTATAACTACGCACCCTTTATGCCCTATGTTTTCATGGTGGCGTGTATAACGCAGTGGTTAGAGGTGTCCTGCAAAGTACGCTCGCTTTACAGTT